TTTTTTTTTTCACAGGTTAAGTTGTTTGATCCAACCTGTAAAATAGAAGAATTTTTGAGTCAGACATTAGATCCTCCTGGTTTTGAGTCTATTCGAAGTGCTGCTAGAGTTCTTCAGGAGATTGGGGCATTGTCAGTTGATGAACACCTGACAGAGCTAGGGCAGAAGTTTGGCTATCTTCCTGTTCATCCATATACGAGCAGGATGCTTATTTTCTCCATATTAATGAATTGCCTTGATCCAGCTTTAACACTTGCATGTGCATCTAAGTGTAAAGATCTATTTGTGCTTCCTATTTTACCTGATGAAAAGAAGAGAGCTGCAGCTGCTAGATCTGAGCTTGCTTCGTTGTATGGGGGTTGTGGTGATCAGTTTTCTATAATAGCAGCATATCAATGCTGGGTTAATTCAAAGAAAATGGGTCTAGAATCACGGTTTTGTTCTCAGTACTTTGTTTCTCAAAGTGCAATGAGCAAGTTAGATGTCATGCGGAAGAATTTAGCTGGGGAACTATATAGGAATGGGCTTATTAATAGGAGTAGTAGAAATTATTGCTCTAATGCCTATGATCCTGGTATACTTCAAGCTGTTTTGGTAGCAGGGATGTACCCGATGGTTGGGAAATTGTTCTTTCCTTACGGAAGTGGAAAGAAGATTCTTGTTAACACTAAAAGTATCGATAGTGTTTGCTTGAATAGTCATACTTTGAATTATAAGTTGTCTTCACAGAAAATTCTTGATTGCTCTTTTGTTGTATATGATGAGATTACTAGCGTCGACCGGGGCTTGTGCATAGGGGACAGTACCATTGTTGGACTATTTCCATTATTTTTGCTTTCCAAAGAGATTGATGTTGATCATGCAAAGGATTGTACTGATAATATAATCACAGTAATCATAGATGGATGGCTTTATTTTGAGTCAACAGCATTCGATGCTTTTCACATGAACTACTTGAGAGAGCTATTAACAGCAGCAATTATATACAAAGTATGACAGTATTTCTTTACTTAGAGATTTATATCTTGTAAATGCCTGTTCCTGTTTTTAATCTGCATGATGTGTTTGTTTCTTTTCAGGTGACATATTCAACGGATGTTCTTTCTCCTGTTCTACAAGCCGCAGTGGATTCCCTAGCTTGCATTCTTTCTTGTCATGGGCGTTCTTGCATATCACTCATCTCAGATTGTGCTATGAAACAGACTACAACAAATGCTACTAATACAAAAAAATTCCAAACACAGCTTATAAATCAAGATGCACACCAGACCAGTCCATCTCAAGTTAAGGCATCTGAACCTGAGGCCATTGAAAATTCAATTAACCAGACAAGTAAAAATGCTCGAATAGGTTTGGCTTGTTCGAATCCAACAAAGAAAACCTTCTTGACTCTTGAAGGATTCTGTACAGGGCTTATAAATCACAATGATGTGCCTTCTAGAGCTAGCAAATCCACAGGTGCAGAAAAGCCTAGGGATCCCACAAGAAGGAACACTGAAACAGGTTCAGCTCGTTCAATCCAGACAGCACATTTAAATGATGACGTAACCATGACTGATGTGAGAGCTTCTAGACAACCATATCAACCAAAAAAGTATTATTACTGGCATGGTATAAAGTTTTGATCTGCAAGCTGTTGACGTAACCACACTGAATTTTTGAAGTCTCCACATTTGTCCACTATTTCTTACGATATTTATTGCTCATGGTTAAATTTGTAATTCTGCTATTGCAATTTTCTGAATGTTGAAGTCTCCATAATTGCAGTTGTGGCTATTCTAGCCACATTGTTTTCACAATTTCTTGCGATATTGCTTACCATTTTGGACAATTAACAGGGGCTTGCTATGAAAAGATCTGGGTTGGGTGGTCCTTTCCTGAGGTGGGATGGATTAAAGCTAATGTAGATGGGTCTTATAAGCTTGAAGAACATCTTACTAGCTGTGGTGGAGTTTTCCGTGATCACACAGGTTCTTGGTGTTTTGGCTTCACGTTAAATCTTGGAACATTCTGTTTCGGGTAACTCTTAAATGAAGTTAATTTAAAAATTGTGTTTGGGTTTGTAGTGTAACTTTGATTTTCATGTGTATTTTAAGTGTGACACTGCAATCTCTTATTTTTCTGTCAGATCATCAGATCCAACGTCTAATGACTTTAGTGTGCAATCTGAACTGTGGGGTGTCCTGACTGCCCTGAAGCTTGCTAAGGAGAAAAAGATTTCGCAGCTGTGGATTGAGTCTGATAGTGTTGATGCAGTGGACTGTGTTCTGAATAAACGGGCGGAAAAACATGATCTTTATACTCCTCTTGTTCAATCGATACTTGAGTTGATTGAGGGAAATTGGAAGGTTCGAATCTCTCATAGTTATCGTGAAGGAAACCAAGTGGCTGACTGGTTGTCAAAATATGGGCATAGTAAGGAGATAGGTCTCCGAGTGTACGATGCCCCTCCCAAAGGGGTAAAAAAACTATTAATTCGGGACTATTCTGGATTCTCTAAACAACGATATGTACGTCTCACTGCAAGATGACCTAAATTACGGGTATTACTTTCAATTTAAATTACTATTCACTATTCACTATTCATGTTATACCACATTTCTTAGGTCTAACCTTATGTGAAAACTCGGTATTCATTGCCAACAAATGCCTTTTTTCTTATATATATGCTAAATTCATCTCTCGGTATATCTTCTATTATACTAAGTTTCAAAATTGAATCCTTATTCTTATGTATATTATGTTTAAGAGATGTGTGTATGGGTTTAGCCTTCGCCTATGTATTTATTGTTTCATTTGATAAAATATTATATATATATATATATATATATATATATATATATATATTTGAAAATGATGTATTTATTTAATATTCTTTTGCCTTTTGTGATACGTGATTGTTATTTTTAAAGTTAAATATAATTGTGTTTACAATAAAATGATTTTATTAAAACTTTCATTATATTAATTTGTTTATTGAAAGTTATTAACAACTGTTTTCAAGACAATCTCATGAATTTATTTTTGGCAAATTGCTACATATTAATAAATGGTTTTTATCATTATTCTCATTTATTTTGTTTTGATCACTAGTAAAAAAAAGTCAAAATCATTTACATGATCGGTTTCATTACATGAATTTTTCATTGTATTATAAGTTATTCTCATTTGACACGAGATGACCTTGTTTTCTATTTGATAGTTGTATTGAAGTTGTTTTTTGCCCGTTCTAAAACAATGCTTATAAATTTATATTATTAGCTAATTAACATTATATAAGCAACTCCAAAATTTATATTTGGCTGATTGATCCAAGTGAGTTTGAACCTCATGACATTCTTAAATTATTGTAGATCCTTTTGTCAATGAATTTTTGAAAATAAGCCTTTTCTAATATCTGAAAAAGAAATATGAAAACTTAAAAAAAAAGTAGTTCCACCACCTACGGCTACACGTTCCGGCTACCAAAAATGCTGTGAAGAAAAAAGGAATGTAATGAGACTGATTTCTATAAAAAGATGTATTCAAAATTATTATAATTAATTACTCGTGTATAAGAACATTTTTTATTGACAAAAATAAATACGTAGCGTTGAACAAGCTCGAAATGAATTAAGCTAAAAAAATTCACTATTTTCTTTATGAATATTGTTGAAGCTGAATTACAAATTCATGATACACAACTGTACAATAAAGAAAGAAAAAAGTTCCATGTTCACTTATCTGAAAAGTACCGATGGACATTTGTAACAACTTTGAAGTAACCATTTAAGTAGAATATTTTTTAGAGGGATTCGGCATAGGAAGTGACAGTAAATTCAAAATCCGTATCAAGTTTGGGAATAGAAATCTAAGATGGAACTGTTCTAAGATGAAACTGTACATCTAAAGTAGGCTAAAATATATTGTCAAATGACTATGGTGTAAGAAGTTACAAGATTTAAGCCTCGTGTCTATTATTACCTCATGACACACAAGCTGTTGAAGTTTCGCTTATTTCTGCCAAATATACTTCGTATCTCACTTTTATATGCTCTCCCAAACAAATTTCCAGATTTTCAACATCTGAGAATGGTCAATGTCTCCAGTAAACAAATGCGAACAAGAAAATGACAGTCAATAGCATTCCTGCATATTTGATCCATTGGTCGACACGGTTTCTTCTCTCAATTAGCCTCAAAACGGAGTTAGATATCCCAACTGTATTGAGGATGTCCAATGCTTTTCTATGTGCACTCTGCATCCCGGATATATGACCAAATGAAAAGGTATATCAACAACAATATAATGGATTAATAATGCTCCATTAATTATCACTAAGAAATTAAAACCCTAAAAAATTTGTTTTTGATGAAGGTTAATAATATAGAAAACAACATGAAAAGGATAAAAGCTACACTTTTTCAACAAGAGAATACGATAATGAAAACCATCAAACAAACTAAGTTTGATTCCAATTTTCAATGAGTGAAGCCCAAAAAAGAAGAAAGAATTACAAGAACACACTTTCTTGGTATTCCGCGAAATGGATTCTCTTCAAGAGAGATGTTCTCAGTGTAAATGGAAGTAGAAGTAATGGTTCAAATTTAAAGGGAAAAGGGGACAAAAAAGTGTTATGTTTAAACCCTGAACCATAAAATAGCATTAATGAGAAATAGAGATAAAAAGCATAATTATATTTAACGTAACTAATGACTTAGTGGATATGTTTAAGAGGTGAACATCTGAAACTGAAACAGCACGAAAAGAACAATAAATAGAGATAGGAAATTGATATTTTACGCAATTACAATCTAAATTTCTTCCATAGAAACACTACAATTGTAGCTTATAAACAAACATAATATTTAATTTGTCACCAATAATCAAAAAGATATTATTCTAGCTAAACCTAAACTGTAGAATATAAATGTTTTCACAACAGAAATGAAATGAAATTACCTTCAAGCGTTCTCTTTGACCATGTATTGAAGAAAGGATGGCTTCCCCAATTGCATTTGCATTTTCTAGTTCCCGGGCAGAAGCGCGGACTGAATGTAATGCTTGTGCCTCCTCATCAAAAATTCTCAGAACATGAGCAGAATCCCCATTCTAGCAATTTCAAATGAAGTTGTTATCAGCAAATGACGATTAAAATAAGCCACTAAACTAGAGCATGATGGTAACAACATACAGCTCGTCCCAACAGTTCTGCTCTCTCATTAGCTTCTCTCATCCGTTTCTGATGCCGTAAGTTATATTTATCCAAACTTGCTCTTAGTGATTCAGCCTCCTCAGCTATTTGTTCCACTTTTCTGAATAAGAAACATAATATCTTTAATGAAAATCCTCAACTAGAATACTGCAATTCCAGCAGCAGAACCCATTATAGCATAGATATAAGCAGAGCACTTCGCGTGCTGCTCTTGGCCCGACCCTGCCCGAGTGCTTTGTCGCCCAAGGTGTACCTGTAGCTCTCTGGTCTTGACCCACGGCCTAGGAGCTTTTTATTTCGTAATGTTCCGTAGGCCTCTCTCGAGTGACCTAAGCATTTAGTACTTGGATCTTTTTATCAATTAACGACGTTTGCAACGTCTAGCTTTGAGAACAATTTTGGGAATTTACATTAACATACATAACAAATTGCAATAACAAACAGAAATCAAACAGACAGAACCAATACAACATCACTCATACATTTCGAATCACCAACCATCTAATCCCTAGCACTTTTCTACATTTCGAATCACCAATCATCTAATCCCTAGCACTTTTCCATTCCATCCCAAATAACAACATTTCGCATTGAATTTTAATTACTCTCCCGATTAATTCCAAACAAAATATTGGCATCATTCTTCAAATTTTCAAGAGGCGCAACTCTGAACTCCAATAATATGGACAAAAAACACAGTGCAATATCCAGAAAAAGATACGAAATTGTCTGCATCTTCCACATCAAATATGCAATTCCGACTCAACAACCACCGCGCGAAACAACATGCACAAATTATTTAAAGCAATTTCCTCAAAAACACACAAATATCCTCATGAAAACAATTGATTCAACTGAGATCGGGATCGAAATCGTTCACCTTTTCCAGAGATCGCGTTGAGGTTTTGCTGTGACGGATCGCCAGAGGCGCTCCATCTCCACGCAGAGGGATTGGATCTGTGTGATGTCCTTCTTCACAGCGAACGAAAGCTCCGTTTCGGCGCCGGTGCCGGCGGTGGCAGAGTACTCGAGGCGTTCGAGACGTTCAAGACGCACGAGACAAAGCAGAAGTTTTTGTGCGGATTGGTGAATCTCCGATAACGTTCCTCCACCTCCTTCCATGGCGGCGACGGAGATGGTAATGGCGATAACGTTTCTCCGAGAGGTTGCTGTTCAATTTCACAGGAAAACAAAGCAGAATAAAGTTGGTTGGGTTGGGATATTTTTCCCATTTCAGACATTTCAATTGAATTTATTTTGTCTTATTAAATTAGTCAAGAAAAAATAAAATAAAATTGTACTTTCATTGTGATTTTAATAAAATAATATATTTTCTAAATTTTCTAAACAAATATAAATATATATATATATACACGCGCGCGCGAACCCGTGTTATTTAACTTTTTTCTATTTTTGCTTTATTTTATTTATAAAATTCTTTTTTGTAATTTTTCAGTTCTATTTTACTTTTAAATTTTTATATTTTAAAATTTTAATTTTCAAAATTTAAAAGTTTTTTCAGTTTTAGTCAACAATATTTAAAAATAAAAAGCAAAATAGATTATTTTGTATAGAAGATGTGTGTCATTTATTAAAATCTACATGGATTAATTATAAAATAATGATTTGGGAGTATTCATGACTTTTAACAATAAAAAAGTTAAAGTTATAAATAATCTTTTTATTAATCGAATTTTATTTCATAAGATTACCATATATCTAGTTTTTTTTTCGAATTTCTTTTCAAGTCTTTTTCTATATTTCTAAACACATTCTTATTTTTTTAAGATGAAGAAAGGATAAGATCAATCATAATAAAAAAAAATTACATACCCAGGTTCACTTTTTTAAGATTGTTTTGGTTTTTTGAACTACGTGAAAGTTAAATGTTAAATGTGCTGATTATTTATAATTATGGGATATGTTTAATTTTTTATTTGATCTTTAATTTTATAGCTAGGTAATTGTAATACCTAAAATTTTAAAATATTATTATTTATCATATATAATATAGTTATATTATATATAATTTTTATTTCAGAATATATATATATATATATATATATATATATATATATATATTAATATAGTCTTTATAAATTATATAATATTATTCATGAAGTGTGAACAATTATAATAATAAGTGATAGTAATATTATTTTCTAAGAGCATAATAATACAAATAATTATAGCCTTTATCAATAAATATTTATTATAATATAACATGTACTGTTAAAATACAACAAGAGGAAGCATCACTCAAAAAGTTATGAGTCAATAAATATAATAATACGTAGCTAAATTGTGAAAAACATGTTATTTTATCAGGTAGGGTGTTGAACAATTTTTTTAGTCGCTTTAAAACCAACAAACCTAAATTCTTCACTGTATAGAAGTAAACATAATTATTTATTTATTAAAAACTAAAATTAGGAGGGGAAATAAAATGAATTATTAAAAACAAAAGAAACTGAGTGCAAATGCATGATTGAATCTATCTGAATGATGTATGAAAAAAAAATCTCTAATCCTAGAAAGCATATGC